AATTGGGATATCGATATGGATGAATTTAACTTGAGGAGTTCATGTATTCACATTGTGTTGATGCTTTGTTTCAATTCTTTATTAAAAGGAGCGCCTTAATTACCCTTGTTTCATTACGAACCTGCTGCCATGGAAAGGTAGGACGAAAGATGTTATGCAAGTTTTTGTTGCAAGGACGTATGACTATACGGAATACATGCCTACATATGAGAGATGAATTGGAGCTATTGTGTATCACTCTGCGACTCATATGTAACCGTCGCTACCCCATGCCTTTGCTTTAATGCTATTGCCTTTGCTCAAGTTACTACTACTTTGCTTGCTACAAATGCTACTACTGTTGTTACCGCTACTGTTGCTTTGCTATCGTATTACTGTGTTACTAATAAGTTGTTGCAAGGAAGTGATTTTTTGATGTGGTTGAATTGACAACTCAACTGCTAAGGCTTATAAATATTCTTTGACCCCCTTGTATCGAATCAATAAATTTGGGTGAAATACTATCCTTGAAGACTGTTGCGATCTTCTATACTTGTGGATCATCAAAATATCGTAGTAACTTTTGATCAAGAAAAAGTTATTGAAATATACCCCCAGTATCTTAAGTGTAAGTAGCATCGTAGTATACGAACCAAGACCTCATAACTTACATACAAACACCGCGATAACGTTGACCAGGGAAAAAAGTTGTTGAAACATACCTGCGATAACTTTTGTGTAAATAGCATGATAATTTACGACCTGATAACTTGCATACAATACTGTGGTAATTTTGACCCAAGAAAAAGAAGTTGAAACATACCTCGATAGCTTCAATGTAAACACCATAATAACTTATGCATGCGTGGTAACTTTTGACCGGATCGAAACGTTACCCGGTTCAAAAATCGTCAGAATAAAGCAACATGAAATCTAGTTTCGAAGCTCTCGCCGCCATGGATTTAACAGTGAAAATGGATTTTGAACCCGACCGATTGTTTGAACTACAAAACATTTTAAACTTTCAAAGTTAGGTGTAATCTTTCCCGACATCAGCAGGTATGCATGCAATGGGCTAGTGTGCATGCCTGAGCAGTGGGCAGCCAGGCGTTCGGTTCTACAACTAAATTCATAATAAGGTCTGCCAGATAGTCCATCCCTGTAATGAAAATGACACTTGGATTAACATAAAAAGTATGAATATCATTTCGCCTAAAAAAATATGAATATCATTGCCATGACTAAACATTCTAATCGGCATTGAGAATGAAAATGGCATTGATATTATATTCAAGATATCATAAAATAAAAATTATAATAAGTATCACATTGATTTTTTTCTAAATAGAATTAACTTCATTGAGAAATTGATCATAGACTCATCATCATCTTTTATGCAACACAGTGCGGTGCGAAAAACCGAACCACATGACTATCATAATTTTTTTAAGGTAGCTTCAGCCCGCTAGTAATGATCAAATGGTTTAAAAATGCCATAAACATGGCATTAACATAAACTTCACATGAAATAAAAAATTCAATAATTTTTTCCAAATCTCTAATGATGATTCATAATTGTTCTCAATATTAATATCATTTTATAACATTAATTTCATCATTGAAATAATACTTGAAAGGTGGCCGTCATTAAAGATGACACAAAAATTGACATCAACATAAATATGAAACCACGTTTTGCAAATAAAATCTCCCATTTGTTCTATTCTTCTTTGAAAATTGAATCATAATTTACAACGCATTATAGTGGCAGTTGTTCAATTCATAGCAGTGCAAAAACATTTTTAGAATAAACATAATGTGGGAAAAGGCACTGATTTTTTTTTGAGCAGTTGAAAAATAAAGGCACTGAATAAAATGAAAAAGTCCAGAAGATAACATGGCCCACGGATGCCAATTAGACACATAGCCCACCAGATTATATCTAAAAAAACCCACCAGAATTGAAAACTAAAAAGAAAAACATTTCTTTGCTCGGTCAGGACAACCTCGGCTGTTGCCCATGGCCGGATTGGGCCCGTTTAGCAACCGGGTTACAGGCTGTGTCTCCGCTCTATCGCCAGCCGTTGGATCAGATCGAACAGCTCCGGACTTATCCGCTCCCGACGAGAGAGGCGCCTATCCGGCGACACCATCCATGGCGGCGCGGTGGCTGCGTTCGGCGGAGCAGCGTGCGACGGGCCAAGTCCTGCGCGCTCCTCCGTCGACCGTGGCTGCCGGCGACGCGCGCATGGCGTCCGGTGACGAGGTTGTGGAGCCGAGCGGCGGTCACCACGACATGAGGAGGAGACGGCGGCGTGCGCGGACGGGTGCATCTTTCCGCGCGTCGTCCGAGGGACGGCGGCGTTGCCGGCCTCGTCGTCCTCACACAACAGCGCGACAGTGCAGACCCCGAACGCCTTCGCCATCCAAGGTAAGCCCCCACCTTTTCTTTGATTTCTGCATTTTGGGCTTCAAAATTTGGGGATTTTTGATCTAGGGTCAGGGTTTCGTATTTGGGGGAAATTGGGGATTTCATAAATTTGCTAATTCCGCTCCTCGTTGCTACCCAAAACGTATAAAGTGTTAATCCATCATAAACATGAAGTATAGTCCCTTGATCATGATCAGATAATCAATCACAGAGAATATTTGTGCCCTAAACATGTAACTAAGACCATTATGCTTGGACAGAAAACCATTTAGATTGCAATCATATCGCGTGGTGAAACCATTATCGTTAGAATATAACCGAAATAAGTTAGCAGTAAAACATGAACATTGGTTGCTAACTGTAAACCCTTAGAATTTAATCATGTTCTGTTAGCACTAGCGTATGAAATTAGACCGTGGCGTTAGCAATCAACTTCAACCATGGTCTACCAAACATGCTCATGATACCAATATTAGAATGAACAATCATTAGGATCTACTCCCTCTATTACTTGTCTCGAAAATGGATGTATCTAGAACTAAAATACTAAAAGATATATCCATTTGTGCGACAAGTAATTCCGAATGGAGGGAGTAGATCTCTGATTGGAACACCTTAAACCATTGTCGTAAGTCAAAGTTTTGAAATTTTGACCAGCTTTATAGGAAAAAGTAGTGGACAGAGGGAGTACATAAATAAACCAGTGTTTCTTTAAGCACCGGTGCTTATTTGTATAGGATAGACGCTTACTTAGGCGTCTAAAAATAGGCACTGGTGCTTCAGAAAAATCTGATTTATTTTTCTAAGCACCTCCCTAAGCATCTAGCATTGTACAGGGCCTAAGTGTAGCGGAATATGATGTACTAACCGTTATTTGCAGGGACCAGTAGAGTATAGCCCATGTACTAACCGTTATTTGCAGGGACCAGTAGAGTATAGCCCATGCTGGATGCACCTTGGGATCTCCAGCAAGGGGAAGATGGCTGGGGAAGAAAGGCGGCAGCAGGGTAGATGGCAGCAGGAAGCCACCGGCTCTGCCTTGCGGTGTCCGGCGGTGGATGTTGGCCTTTTGATCCCCTTAGCACCCTTTTAGGATCAGCGGTTAGGAGTTTGTTGGGGTTTAACCCATGTATACCTGTGTACATCTGCCCATGGGGCACAACCTCCTACTTTTATATCTTACTAGCAAGATGCCCGTGCATTGCACGGAACATCAAAATCTTATGGGAGAAAAGGATGGACGAGGGAAGGCCTTATTATCTGCAAATGTGGAGAGGAGTGCGGGTAAATTTTCATAGTTTCCTTTCTATCCGTTAGATATAGATCGGACGGCCTATATTCCAGGATGGCAGGCACACCATCATCACCAACTCTGCTTTTTATAAGAGTAGAGATATCCAATAACCGAAAAACAGGACGAGCCTACACAAAATTACCTCCCATCAAACAAAGAGAAATATCCTAGACGGACCTACTCCTACATATCTACACTAATTTTCTTCTGCACCTCCTTTTGGCATTCATGGTAAATAGAGAAATGCTCAGATAGAACATTTAGATTGAATTTTGGGTATATGATTATCAAACAAGAGAAAGGTCCCAGATTATTCAAACTGCAGAATACCAGCAACGAACACAGCGTTTTTCTGGAAGCCAGTGTACTAGGATGCTATTTCTTTTACAGACCAGAAAAAGGGGGGAAATATAGTTACATGGGAATTGAATCTGCACACACAGCAGGCATGCAAAGCAGAATCCCTGCAAAAGCTGTCAAAAGCTATACTCACATATCAGCTAGCTGCTCAAAACATCAGGCTAGCAAGGAGCCGAAACAAGGGAAATGAATAGTACTAGTATTGTGTTGCCAGGAGAAGCACCAGCAATCTTCAACAAAGAACACACTTCCTTCGGTTACAGCACCACCCTCAATAGATTAATCTTTGTATCGTGCTTTCGCTGCATTAAACACCTCCCTTGCTGCCTACTCCAAACAACTCTGTTCTCAACAGCAGCAGCAGATTTTGCATCTCCTCCTTTAACCGCAGCGCGAAGACCAAATTATGAAGCCAATGGCTTATCAGTTTAACAACTATTACCTCCGTCCAGAAAAGCTTGCGTTCGATTTATCTAGATACGGATACATCCATTTGAGAGACAAGCTTTTTGGGACAGAGGGAGTATGTTGGAAGCATGCTCTGTTTCTAGTATTAATTCCAGACCGACCATAACACAGCTGCTAGTCCAACCAGAACAAGGCACTTAGTGTTGCCAGTAAAAAGAATGAACCAAACTTGCCAACGGACTGAATAATGACAGTTATATTAGTAGCAAGAGAAATAGAGATACAACAATGGTGCTATCTAGGAGTATAAATCAGCTCTTAACACTTCTATGCCAAAGGGTTAGTAATTGGGCTGTTGGAGTCCATGATTCAACAAGGATTCATGGGAGGAATAATCTGAAGTGACAAGACATACGTGCTGGTGTTGGTGTGGTGTTTAGATCATTCAAACATGGGAAGCTCTGTTGCTGCTCCAATACTGATTCGGTTACTTTCATATAATAAGATGGTCAGTGAAGATCTACCACCTTACTGGGCTTCACCCTTCAAGAAGGGTCTTCTGAGACAGAACCACGAATACGCCGTCCAGTGATTATTTCTGCCCGTGCCCTCCATCTGCTCTCCGGGATATGGAATTTGTTGGAAAACATTTGACCCCAAGTCTAACACAATAGCCCAATCTTGATGCTTGACTGTATCGTGCTCTACAAAGTAGAGACAATTTCTCCTGATCATAGTGAAGTCCTTTGCACAGAGGGCAAACGCATCACCGCGGCCCAAGAAGAGCGAGTACTCGCCGAGATCCGTGACCTTGTCCCGCAGCTCCAGGCGCTCCGCTGCCCAATCCGGGCGGTAAACTTCGACAGCCTTTATGTTGGGCGCACGGTACATCACAACAAGCAGCAACTCGCCATTGAATGCGACCACATACCACGCCGGCCTGCCACCGCCAGGGAACTGCCGAAATCCATGGCGCTCTCGCAGAGCACTGTAAAGGTACGTGCTCCGGACAAGCTTGGGAGGGGAGCGGTCAAGATCATAGACGTGAAGGGTCCACCCGATGTCGGTGAAGTAGAATTTCCCCTGATGGAATGCTGAGCTATCGATTCTGCCGTTTGGCCGCTCGAGCTGCATAGTCCATGCGGCATCTCCAGGCCGCCAGAAGAAGAGCGTCTGGCCCATGCAAGTGCCAGTGCTGTAGAGCTTCTGGCTTGCAATCGCCATCCAGTCAGGCGAGGTGAGCGGGTCTCCTGAGAGGAAGACTTGGACAACGGCGGGCAAACAGGGCAGAAAGATCTCAGCTTCAGAGAGGGGCTCCCAGAGGACAAACCGCGTTGGGGATTGCAGGTTGTCCATGAGAGCAAGCCAGCCAAGGGGCGTGCCGCAGCAATATGGTAGGCCCGCCGGCGTGGGCGTGCCCAAGTAGATCCGTCGGCCGCCAAGGGGCAGCCAAAACGAGTGTTCGCCGACCGGGCCAACCAGGCTCCATGGTTCGCGGCCGGCGATGATCCATGGACGGCAGGCGGCCAGCCGGGAAGTGGATGCGCGCCAGTGGGAGCATACCTGATGGATGTGGATCCGGTCCGCGTCACCTGGCAGGCGGCCGGAGATTTCCGCGAGTAGCTCCGCCGGGATGGAGGTCCAGCCGGCCATCTTTTGAGGGGTAGAGAGGGGATGCGTTGGACGGTCGTGTGTGGTCTCTTGGTCTTTTTATTAGGGCGTGGGGTAGCAGCATATCTATCTATCACCTACTGACCCGGTCAAAATTGATCGCCAACGAAAATACTACCAGCAAACTCTTTCTCCCCCGATCCGGGTGACACGGGGGCAGATAACCTAGCGCCGCCCCTTCTCCACTATACGCCCTCCCACGTCTTGCCGCCGCCATAGGTGGCCGCCGGCGAAGCTCAGCTGGCTCCGAGGACGGCGGCGGCGGGCTGTTTCTCCAGCTGAGCTACTCCTTCTATCTGCGGAGGGCAGGTGGCTGAGGCCGTCGGCAGGCGCTCGGGTGACGGATCTGCGAGTAGGGGGTGCAGGCGGCTGTCCTGAGGTGGTGGTGCCGGCGGCGGCGCATGGGGCTGACCTCCGGTGGTCGCGCGACGGCAGCGGCTGGGCGGGCCAGATCTGGCCCCGCCAGGGCCGGCGTCTCTCTTTCATTTTACTCTGTTGTCATTTGGTTTTGTTTGCACGATGCATATACGTTAATTAACAGTTAACACTGCTGGACTTGGCCAGGAGTGATTCGATGGAGGATGACGAGTGGACAAGTCTTGGCGTGGCTGGACGCTCTTAGCTCCATGAGGAGGACGGAAGTGGATCCTCTAACATACACAAGGAATGTTAGAGAAGCTACAGTACCCTAACTTTCCTTCTGTTAATCCATACAATTAAGTCTAAAATAACTTAAATTATTTTTTAAATTACAGATCTAGTATGCACATTCATAGTAATTACATACAAACAAGTTGATGGTGAGATAAAGTTAATTTTAGATTTTTTATATCTACAGTAATTACCAAAAGTAAATAACTTGCTAATAGTCCGTAACATTCCTTCTTCATTTTACACTAGACGCGCACTGTAGCACCGTGACATCCCTTCTCTAAGTTAGAGGATCCGGCTCCGAGGAGGACATACTTGATCCCCATGGACGCCAAGGAGGCTAGGATACAGGCAGAGGTAGAGGAGGCAAGGATGAAGGAGACGGCCGCTGCGCAAAATTTGAATAAACTAGAAATATCCTGGAAACTTTAATATTTGGAGTATCAAATTCAGTTTTTTTCTTTGAATACATCCTTAAAATCACTAAGCTCCCTGGGATTGGAGCTCCTAGGGATGATTGAGGTGATCGATTTGGTTTGTGTCGTCGATTTTGACTGGGCCATTGGTTTCATGGAAACTTTTTAGTTGACAGCCACGTATGTTCATGTTTTTATACATATCTACTGGAGAAAACATTGTACATCTTATGGTGATTAGAACAAGTACTTCGCTTATGTATGGAGATTTGGTACTCCCTCCGTTTTTATTTAGTTCGCATATTAGTTTTGGTCAAAGTCAAGTTTTGTAAACTTTGACAAAGTTTCTAAACAAAAATATTAACATATACAATAACAAATCAATACCATTAGATTCATTATTTATTATACTTTCACGTCATATAGATTTGATATGGTAAATGCTTATATTGTTTTCTATAAACTTGATCAAACTTTACGAAGTTTGACTTCAGTCAAATCTAATACGCGAACTAAATAAAACGGAGGGAGTATATGCTTAGGTTAGGTTATGTTTCTGTTTCTCTCCCCTTAATTATTTATTTTGAGAAACGCACAGTAGTAGTAGTATGCAGATTAGATATATGTTTAGGCCATGTCCTTTTAGTATAACTCTCTCTCTCTCTCAGCCATTTTTTTTTTCAATTTGCCCAGCTTATGCTTTTAGAGAGGTATGTTGGTAGAAATAAGCTTCTTAAAAAAGCATATAGTTGCGTTCTTCTTTTGTCACCAATAGTAAGCACTAAAAATCAAACAAAACTCAGCCCTTCATTTTGGGTTTAACAACGAGCATAGTCCTACAATCCACTTAGGAAAGTTGAGCTTGTAGGATTGTTATGTGCTTTTAAATAAGTAACCATACATACATATTATTTTGTTTGCCATTTAGAATTAAAAACTGGTAAAGATAAGTATTTATTCATATTCTTGCTCTTTTTATATATATGTTCATGCCATATTTCATTAAATGTTAAAAGTTCATTCATATTCTTGCTCATTTTACATGGATGTTCATGTCATACCACCAAATGCAGGGTAGAAGCAGTTTTTCCCAGAGCACTAAATGTGGGAGGTGATTTAGGTAGCATGTGCGCCTTCACGGTCACTAGAAGATCCAGGGAACAAAATGCCGGTTAGTTACTTTCTGAACCTCAAACTTCTTATGTAATGTATCTTCTGTACCCTTATATGTTAGAAAAATGTATAGCTTACATTCTCTCCTTAGATGGTCAACTAACAGGGATTATATCTGTTAAGGATATTCCTACCAGAAAACTTATATGGATAATTAGAGAAGATAATATTAAAAACCAGTATAATGCAGCTAGCTACGAGCCTCCACAGCGATTTGACTGTCTCAGCCATCGGATCCTTGAACCTGTGATCCAGATCAAACTTGGTCGTCCCAGGTCGTCTGCGCGCTGCACGCACCGTTTCGCGGGACGCTTATCCGCAGAACGACCTGCTTTTTTTTTTCCTCAATCGGGCCGTCCAAGGCCCACTTCTTTCCAGTTCGATGGTAACAGCCCACGTTCCGGTGCTATCCCTCCTATCCAGCTGAACAATTTCTCCGTTCCTCCGTGCCACCGTTTGTTCCTCCTCGATGAGCCGGCGTTCCTTCCTCCTCGATGCGCCGGCGTTCTGCCATGGGCGAGCTTGTGCTGCGTGACTACCTCTGCACCGGTCTGGTCCACCCACCCTCTACTCTTCCACCTAGCCTCTTCCTTGTTGCATCTGCTCCTTCCTACGCGAGGCGTCGCCTTTTCTTCCTCCGCGATGCACCACCGCTGTCGGCTTCCATGGCTGGTTGTCCTTTTCTTGCATCCGCCTTCATGCCTTGCAGCTGTACCGCACGCCCCTTTCCCTCGCATAACCGAAGCTGAAACTGCCGCATGAAAGGTCTACTGTCTACCTCCTGAGATAATTGTGATGATGGTAATTAACTTCAGGGGTGATGGTGGTGATTAATTTTCCTCATATATATGCCTCACATAATCCCTTCCTTCCTGCCTTGCGCGCCGTCTCTCGGCTGTGCCTGTTGCTTACTTTTGTTCTTGCCGACCATCCATCTTTCTCCCTCTAATCCCCCTCCATATGTACGTATCTACGGAACTGACTTGCTATTCGTCCTTGCAGGTTCGCCAGCAGCTGGTCCTTAGATTGGTTGCCTCTCCTGGTACGCGGGCATGGATTCG